TTGAATGGTGTGAATCCTGTTGTTCTTGAGATGGTTGTGTTGTGTGACCAAACCACTCTAGGTAATTCATCTACCCATTTTCCCTTGCGGAAGCCTAGCAATGTTTTTGATATTGCTGAGAATATTATTCCGTTTGCTCTTTCCACAGCACCGTTGGACTCTGGGTGGTATACTGAGGCGAAGGCTAGTTTTGTCCCGACGCTTCTGCAGAATTGTTTGAAGTTTTCTAAATCGAATTGCTTTCCATTGTCTACTGTCAGAGTCCTTGGAACACCGAATCTGCAAATGATGTTTTGCCAGAAGAATTTCCTGATAGTTTCTGATGTTATCTTCGCCAGCGGCTTTGCTTCTATCCATCTTGTGAAGTATTCTACTGCCACTACTGTGAATCTGTTTCCTCCTTGGGATGGTGGTAGTGGGCCGACCAAGTCCATACCCCATCTTTGTAGCGGCCATGTCGGAGATATAAGCTGGGTCTCCGACGAAGGTTTTGACTGCCCGGGGGAGAATGTTTGGCATGCTTTGCATGTTCTGACTACCCGCTCTGCGTCTTGTATGTGTGTTGGCCAGTAAAAACCTTGCCTTATTGCCTTCGCTGACAATGCTCTGAAGCCAATGTGTGACCCGCAGATTCCTGAGTGTATTTCTTGAAGCAGCTCTGTGCCTTCGCTCTGCGATATACATTTGAGGAGAGGCTGAACTACTCCTTTCTTGTACAATACACCATCTATGATTGTGTAATTTCTTGCCCTGGCCTGTGTTCTTGCTGCTTTTGCTTCATCTTCTTCGGTGATTTTGCTCTCTAAGAATTCTATTATCGCCTTTCTCCAGTCTTCATTTTGCAGTTGTAGTATGGGCCTGTGTGCCTTAGGTGTCTCCGCAGTAGATGGAGACTTCAGGATCTGGTAGAAAGTGTTTGGCGGCAGTGCCAGGTTGTTTGCTGCAGCTTTTGCCAGTTCATCTGCCTCCGCATTTTCTAATCTTGGGATGTGTTTCAGGGTGAAGCCCTCAAATCTCCGCTCCAAACTTCTGACCACGGATAGATATTTGATGAGGTCTGGCTCTCTTGCTGTGTATTCTTTCTCTACTTGGCCAGTAACCACTTGAGAATTTGTTTTGACTGTCAGTGTTTTTGCCCCTAAGGCCTTTGCTTTACAAAGTGCTAGGATCAGGCCTTCATATTCTGCTATATTGTTTGTTGATTTGAACTCTAGCCTTGCTGCGTATTTCAATTTGACGCCGGAGGGTGACGTTAGGACGGCGGAGGCTCCTGCTCCGGCCTGGCCCCAGGCTCCATCCGTGAATGCCATCCAGCCTTGAGTGGTTGGTTGTTTCTTGGGCTCTGTCGGGGGTGTCCAATCTGCTACGAAGTCGGCTAGTGCTTGTGATTTGATTGCTGTTCTGGGGACGTACGAGATGCCAAACTGTGACAGCTCTGTAGCCCATTTGCCTATTCTGCCGGAGGCTTCTTTGTTTCTGAGCAAGTCTTGCAGTGGCAGCGATGTTGGAACTGAGATCTCGTGTGCTTGGAAATAATGCTTTAGTTTCCTTGATGCTACTAGCACCGAGTAGGCAACTTTTTCTACCTCGGTGTAGTTTAGCTTGGCTCCGGACAGTGCTTCTGAGATGAAATAAACTGGCTTTTGGGTCTTGCCTGATTCTTTTTCCAGCTCATGAGCTAAGACTGCGCTGATTGCATGGTCGGAGGCCGCCACATATAGCAATAGGTGGCTTTCCGGTTCTGGGACGGAGACTACCAGTGAGTTTGCCAGATTCTCTTTCAGATTGTGAAATGCCTGCGACTGCTTGGACCCCCACTCGAAATTGTCTCCGCCCTTGAGGGCTTGAAAAAAGGGTAGGCTGCGCTCTGCTGATTTTGAGATGAATCTATTGAGCGCTGCTATTCTTCCCGTCAGCTTTTGCACTTCTTTCTTGTTTTTCGGTTCTGCCATTGTCATTATTGCTCTGGTTTTGTCTGGGTTTGCTTTAATGCCTTCGCTGCTTATGATGTATCCGAGCATCTTCCCTTTTGTGACTCCGAATATACACTTTTCTAGGTTGAGACGGAGGCCAGCTGTCCTGAGGTTGGCGAAGGTCTCCTGTAAGTCGGAGAGATGATCGTCCTTGTTCTTGCTCACGACTATTATGTCGTCGACGTAGGCTATGATGTTTCTATCTAATTGTGAGCCCAAGACTTCCTTTGTCATTCTGGCAAAGGTTGCTCCGGCATTCTGGTATAGCAGTATGTCCTGAATGGAGTGGTAAAACTTGTCTTGTCTTCGTCTTCTTTCTTCATCCAGATTTGATGATACCTAGAGAAGCAGTCGAGGAGAGAAAACCTCTGGCACCTGGCTGCCTTGTCAACGGAGGCATCTATTCTTGGCAATGGGAAAGGGTCTTTCTTGCAAGCTTTATTCAGATCTGTGAAATCTATGCACATTCTCATTTTGTCGTTTTTCTTTGGTACCAGTACTACGTTTGCAAGCCACTCTGAATACTTGACTTCTCTGATGACCTTTGCATCTAGCAATCTTTGCACCTCCGCCTTTGCTGCCAGGATTCTGTCCTCCGACATTTTCCTCTGTTTCTGCTTTCTTGGCCTCATGTTTTCATTGATATCAAGTTCATGCTGTATGATGTCCCTACTGACTCCCTGGAGGTCGGAGGCTGACCAGGCGAAGATGTCTTTGTTTTTTACTAGAGTTTCCATGAGCTCTTCTTCCTCTGCTTTGCTCAGTTCTGAGCTGATCGTTACTTTTCTATCTGGTAACTCTTTTTCTAAAGGGGTCATCTTTGTTTCTTCTTGACCTGCCATATCTGTTTTTCCTCTGGGCATGTCTGGAGGCTCTAGTTCTTTGTCTGCCGACTCGACTGCGTTGATGTTTCTTTGCGCTCTGTAAATTGCTTTTTCTATGTTTCTTGCTTCTTTCTGGCTGCCTTGGACTGTGATGATGCCATGGAGAGCTGGTATTTTCATGCACAGGTAGGCCATATGCAGGGCTGCGTTGAATTTGGTTGTGAATCCTCTGCCCAAAATGGCATTGTATGGGTAGTACAGGTCGACGACGTCGAATGTTATGTACTCGGTTCTGGCATTTGCTTGAGTTCCAAACGATACTGGGAGTGATATCTTTCCTAGTGCTTGTATCTGCTTGCCTCCGAATCCTATCAAAGGGGATTCGGAGGGCTGAAGTTGGTTTCTGCTGAGCTTCATTTGGTCGAAGGTATTTGCAAAGATGATGTCTGCTGAACTGCCCGTGTCGATCAACACTCTGCTTATCTCCCATGCTGCTATATTGGTCTTGACTACCATTGCGTCTGTGTGAGGGTAGCTTTCCAGCTGGAGATCTTCTTCTGTGAAGGTTATTGGGACTCTGGACCAATCTGTGTATTTTGCTGGGCCTTGAACTGCTACATTGTTTACCAGGCGGAGGTGATCCTTTTTCTGCTTTTTTGTTTGGAACTCCATTGATGATCCTCCGGCTATTGGTAGTATCATGCCTATTGTTGGTAGTGCTCCATGAGGGTTAACTTGGTTTTCTGGGTTTGGCTCATTTTTTGGTGTTGGGGGTTGGTTGTGAGGTGGTGGCGGAGGCAATTGCTGCAAATGTTGCTGTTGCAGCGGAGGCTCGAACCTGCCTTGGTTTTGAGAAGGTGGATTTGTTTCGAAGTAGGTTATTTGGGGGGGTCTTGGGTTTATGTAGGTTAGATTTGCCTCCGACCTGTAGTTGCCTGCCGGAGGCTGCTGCGAAGGCGCTGGCCGCCATGCTGGAAGGAAGTTTGGGTAATATGCAGAGGCTAGTGTGGAAGGATGTACTTGATTTGCGTTTAGCGCTGGATATATTGGGCAGTACTGCTGGTGGCCAGTTGTATATGTGTTGTTGACCTCTCTGGTGTTTTGCGGTGTTGGAGGCTGGGCAGTCTGCTTGTTCTTCATCCTTTCCTGCGTCTCTTTTGTCTCCGGACAATCTTTGGTGCTGTGCCCTGCTGTTTCACCGTGAAAAACGCAATATGGCCTGCGTTGTTTCTGCTTGTGGTTTTTGTTCCAGTTTTTGCCTTGGTAACCTTGCTGGCCTTGGTTCCTGGTCTGGGTCTCCGGCCCTGCTGGCGCTGCTAATTGCCCTTGTTCGATGTGAGGTTGACCCTCGATGCTGAGCACTTGCCCCTGGCTGGTTTTCTGACTTGATGCGTTCGGGTTCGTATAGCTCTTCTGGGAGTTTTTACTGCTGTTTTGCTGTCTGTTTTGACCCTGCTCCTCCAGCCTTTTCCGGAGGTCATTGTCTGATCTGCAGTATTTCTCGAACTCGTCATACAACTGCTGTATGGAAGTTGGTTTCTTTCTTGCTAGGTGTGCTGCGAACGGCCCGATTCGGAGGCCTTTGATCGCTGCTTCAATGGCGATCTCGTCTGGGGCGGTGGGCGCCAATGTTGTGACTAGCTGTCTCAGACAAGGTGGAGGTAGAGGCCTTCACCCCTCAAGCATGCAGAGGGCGCGGAGGCCTCCGGCCGCTGAGCCTCGCCCTCGGGCGGAGGCTCGAGAAACAAACACAACAGACGGACGTGTAAGGAGAACAGCACTCAAAACTAGGGTTTCATTAATTCATCCACCAACCAAACCTTATTGTTACAAGTGTCCGCTATTTATAGGGCTCAACTACCACTTTTACAGAGTTTACAATATTATCCCCTAACTGCTACAGTACATTCTCGGGATATTCTTCCTCTCGTCCTCCGTCGCGGGGGCATTCTTGCCATGCCGTTGTCTGGTACCGGGCCGGCAGGGTCAACCGGCCCAACGGGCCTCAGGATTTGGCAATGGGCTTCTGCACCTCCGCCGTAGGCCTCCGCTCCGTCCAGCTTCAGGATCCCCTCGACGCCTCCTGGCCTCCGGCGCCGGAGTGCCAAAGCCATGGAGCACCGGCGACCCAGGATCGCCGATGTTCTGCTAGCGTCTCCGTATCGACGGGCGGAGACCGTGCCGGGGTGCCCGCGCCGAGGACCGTCCGGGGCCGCGTCGGCGCCCTGCTTGGGTCTTCGCCCTCAACGGGCGGAGACCCTGCTGGAGTGCCTGCGCCGAGGACCGTCCGGGGCCGCGTCGGCGCCCCGCTTGGGTCTTCGTCCTTGACGGGCGGAGACCCTGCTGGAGTTCCCTTACTGCCCACGAGCGCCTTGATGTAACTTCCTGCACACACTCAAACAATGTTGGTATTCAATTAGTCTCTTGGCGATGCGGCCTCCGCCCTCTTTTTAGGCGGAGACGCCTGCGGGAAAGGCCGGGCGGAGGCCTATGCCAAGGCCGCCGTCTGCACCCTGCAAGCTCGATCTCTCTCCCGGGTTTGGAGGCGTGGGAGCTGGGTGTCCGTTACATCAACGGGTCGGAGATGTTCTCGTCGCCTGCTGACTACGCTGGTCTCCGTCGCCCGCGGTGGCCATGTTACAACACTTCTTCTATTTTGTCCCTTGAAATTTTCTCCACTTCGTCCAACAACACTTTCATCCCCTGACACGTCACATGCAGTCAAGTGACGAGATATTCCAACAGCAAAAAAGGTACATACTCAGTATGCAACGTATAAAGCAGCAGTTGTGCTAATTTACCTGAAGCGTCAGCAGAGACGTTGATGTTTGTCTTGAAGCTGAATGGATCGCCTGTGTACTTCACGTACCACTTCCTTTCAATGTTGTTGTCATCATCATCTGCATATGCATTGACCTGCTTGATATGGCTGAACTTGTCCCACTCAGGGCCAGATTCCCCTTCAGCTATGGAAGCGAGCAGGGAGATGTCACAGTTTAGACGCAAATCCCTTCGGTTTACGTCCTGCAAGTATCCAGGGAGTGTTTTCATGTCGTAGTCCTCCAGTGTGAGTCTATGAAGTGCAGGCAAACCCTCCAATACCTTCAACTCTGGGCATCTTATGATCATGAGGTCCTGCAAATTTGGCAGATTGCTGATCCTCTCCAGGCTAGGACATCCAGCCACCTGAATTTTCAAATCAGAACCAAAGTTCTCCAAAGCGCTTGGGTGCTCATGATGGTGTGGTAGTAAGAACTCTGGGCCAACATGCTTGATGGCTGGGGCACTTATAATTTGTTGCGTTGTTCGTTTTTCTCCATTTTCGTTCTTGGCTACAATCTGAATTTCTCAGAGTTTGGGTCGATCCCAGGCGATGATTTCTTGAGGATAGATTCGTAGCAAGTTGAATTCCATCTTTGTAAATTTTTGGAACGGATGATGGAGATTTGGGTCGTTTTTGTTTTGATTTTCTGGTCGCTCTTTCTCCCTGTTCGTGCCTAGCAGAGGCACTGCTTTTCCTGTTCGTCTTTTGCGTGTGGGGAGACGAGCAACTGAGCACCAGCACCGTGCTCACCAGGCCCGAGCCGGTGCTCGCCCAGGTGGCCATCCTCTCGTCGGTCTCCTCCCTGTCTCTACTTCCTTCGGTGCTTGCTCTCTGTCTGTCTCAGATTGGCAGCGCAGCATCTGGCCGGCGGCGAGCAGACCCACCGCTGGTTGTTCCGGCGAGAGTGTTTCCTGGACTAATTACGATGATTAGTTGATTCACTTTTTTTTTATGATGGATTAGTTGATTCACTAGTTCCTATTTTTCCTCTTTAATATAACCATTCAGGTGGACGCCCTATTATATATCGACCTCCGTGTGAAATGAGTTATAAACATATCAACAAAATAGAAGTATTTCCTCAATCCTGTATAAACAATATATAAGTGATTTTGTTTTTTTTTCTCGTATAAGCATTCTAAGTTCGGGCTTCCAACGAAATGTAGTTCCTTTCGCCTTGCCACACGTTAGGCAAAAACTCTTCAACTTTCTAGGCAGATCCAAGGCGAAAACTTTTTAGCAGGCAAACAGTACTCTCCATAATTCGGCATTATTCTGTGAACACAAGGTTAATACGTGCCTTTGTGGTTTGGATTTGTGATGAATGATTGTCAACGTGATTCGCGTCTTGGGTTGAGTTTGTGAACTAACCATGGCGTAAGTTAGGTTGTGCAACATGTCTCTTCGCTTGTGGTGCGCAGGTGTGGAGCTCGGAGACGGTGGTCGACGGCGAGGTGAAGGTCAAGTAGGGCCGTGCCGTGTCAATGGACTAGAAGCGGTGAAGGACGGACGTGAGGCTTGGACTAAGAGACCAGGAGGCCGGATGACCAGCCGCGGTGGCTGACATCTGGGGATATCGACAAGCGCAAGTGTACTTGGAGGAGTGACCGTGTTGACCGAGTCAAGACGGCGCACGTGCAAGTCGAGCGGAGGTTCTGGAAGACTTGGCGCCCGAGCGGTCGAGGACGTAGGTGACATGCGTCGAGTTGCGGGGGACACGTATGGAGTATGCTACTCGTGGACGATTTAGTGGATTGGGCCTCAAACCATCGGGCGGACGGTTTCCGGGTTTGGGCCTCAAAACCTGGGCGGAGGTTCCAAGGAGGAACGAGGTGGCACGTGGCGGAATTACAGAGGTTACGTCGAGGCGAAGCAAATCTATGCAGGAAGCGAGACTGTCCGATCGATAGAAATCGGGTTGTACCATAATTTTGCCCTAAAATATCTAGGGGCACAAGTGGAATTGTGTAGTAAGCCTATCAATAAAATGGGGCTGCCGTCAGTCAGTGTCACCTCTCAGACTTTTTCATTTCCTCATTCTAGCCCCCTCATAGAGTTTGTTTTTGAGGTGCACAAATTCAAAATTTGTGTAAGCAGAGATTTTGAGTTGGGAATGGAGTCCCGAATCCTCTTTCTCAATTTTCGTTCTCGGCTACAATCTGAATTTCTTAGAGTTTGGGTCGATCCCAGGCGATGATTTCTCGAGGATAGATTCGTAGCAAGTTGCAGGTTGTTTAGTTTCCAAATTTTTGCCAAATTTTTTAAGATTCCCCATCACATCGAATCTTTGGACGCATATATGAAGTATTAAATATAAAAAAAATAAAAATAATTACACAGTTTAGACGAAATTCACGAGACGAATCTTTTAAGCCTAATTAGACTATGATTGGACACTAATTATCAAATAAAAACGAAAGTGCTACAGTACCATTTCACTAAAAATTTCGCCAACTAAACACAACCTTGAATTCCATCTTTGTAAATTTTTGGAACGAATGATGGAGATTTGGGTCGTTTTTCTTTTGATTTTCTGGTCGCTCTTTCTCCCTGTTCGTGCCTAGCAGAGGCACTGCTTTTCCTGTTCGTCTTTTGCGTGTGGGGAGACGAGCAACTGAGCACCAGCACCGTGCTCACCAGGCCCGAGCCGGTGCACGCCCAGAGAGGCCGAAGGCCTGCGCCAAGCAGCAGGAGCCGCGTGCTCCCAGAGCCCGAGCTAAAATGTAAAAAATTCGGGCCATCCTCTCGTCGGTCTCCTCCCTGTCTCTACTTCCTTCGGTGCTTGCATCTGGCCGGCGGCGAGCAGACCCACCGCTGGTTGTTCCTCTCTCCATCTCCGCTCGGTACGTGCAACCCAGTGCCGTGCGGTAGCTGTTTCCCTCCGTTCGTGCGGTTTTTCTCTCGGTTCTGTTCGGCTGTGGCATGTTCGGTTGGCTGGGCTGGCTCGCTGCTGGTTCGTGAAGTAGTACTCTGGCTGGTTTGGTGTGAGAGAAAAATATTATTCTGACTGAAAAAATACTGTTCTGACTCGGCAGTGTCTGGTGCCCTTCGGTGGTGTCCGGTGCCTGTCAAAAGTGCCGGCCCAATTTCCAGTCTGGCAGGTTCGAATTTCCAGCCCTGTTTTTTTTTGTTTCATCCGTGGTTTGCGCGTTTGTGCTCGGATTTAAGTTCCATCTTTTGCGTTGATTTTCCATCGATTCAAGGAACTTATCTGAGTATTCTCGTCACCAGTTGGCATGGATATTTTAGATTTGGGAACTTCTTTTGGTTTGCTTGTTTGGCGGTGATTTGGGGACAACGGCCAAATATTTCGAGAGAAAATTTACGGCTCCCCGTCACCGTTTTCGGTTCTTTATATTGCTACTAATTTAAATATCTGAAAAATAAAAGGAGCCTCGTTAGGAAGCTGCATTCTCATGGCACTGGCAGCATATATATGAACATTTAGTTGGCAACCTACGTACATTTTGAGGCTCACAATGAATCCGCAAGCCGGAATAAGCTGTATCATAACATTTGTTTTGTAACATGACGACTCACAACTTAATTATATGTACAAGGTTCTGTATTCTCAGGTGGTAACCTGCATCCACAGTAACACAGATTCGACTAAAAAAACTAATTCACATCACATCGCGTTCTAGTCACCATGAAGCGATGATAGCTCCAGCCTCCAAGGCTGCTTTTTGTCCGTGCGGCACTCCACCTGCAGGCGAGGTCTTTTATGCATTCTATAATCGATAGTGCTAGAGACGTATGTAGTAATAATAATAGTCTTGGAGTAGCATGCATACTTTATTGTTACTCCCTCTGTTGTTCCACGATGAATTCCCTTCAAACTTGCTCCACTTTGTCCAATAACACATCCTCTGTTTCATCCCCTGAAACGGACCGTCTAGTCAAGTAACCAGATATTCCAATAGCAAGAAAGGTGCTCAGTATATGCAACATATAAAGCAGCAGTGTTGTGTTAATTTACCTGAAGCGTCGGCAGAGGGGCTGATGTTTGTCTTGAAGCTGAAAGGATCTATCGTGTACTTCACGTACCACTTCCTTTCAATGTTGTTGACGTTATCATCTGCATATGCCTTGACCTGCTTGATATGGCTGAACTTGTCCCACTCAAGACTAGATTTCCCTTTACCTACGGAAACGAGCAGCGGGACGTTGCAGTCTACATGCAAATCCCTTGGGTTTACGTCCTTCAAGTATCCAGGGAGTGTTTCCATGTCGTAGTCCTCCAGTGCGAGTCTATGAAGTGCAGGCAAACCCTCTAGCACCTTCAACTCTGGGCATCTTATGATCACGAGGTTCTGCAAATTTGGTACGTTACTGATCCTCTCCAGGTGTGGACATCTAATCACCTCAATTTTCAAATCAGAACCAAAGTTCTCCACAGCGCTTGGGTGCTCATGATGGTGTGGTAGTAAGAACTCTGGCCCAACACGCTTGATGCCTGGGGCGCTTTTAATCTGTAGCAACTCCAAGCTGGGGAGCTGCCACAAGCCATCAGCTAGTTCTGTGCAATAAGGCAAGTCTTCCATGAATAGAATCCTCAAGCATCCAAACGACACAATTGCTGTCGACGTCATCCACCGTGGAAGTCGTTGACCAAAGTACCCTTCGATTGCAAGATTTTCTAAGCAAGGCGGAGGGCAGAGCTCATCAAACACCTTCTCGATGTGTTTCACCAACCGGTGAGTACCTCCACTACTACTAGTGCACTGTAAGTACAGATAGCTGAGGCACACCTTTTTACCAAGCCTGGCTTTTATAGCAAATGTGGAAGAGGATACATTCTCCAGGCCACGAATATCAAGACTCGTGAGCCGGTTAAGAGGTCCTAATTCTTCCAAACTACACCAATCACCCTCCACATGGGCTGGAAACCCCTTTAATATCCTCAAATTAGTTAGGCTGCCGAAACCCCTGGGTATATTGTTTATACCTGAGTAATCAAGCCTTAGATACCTCAGCTGCCGTAACTCTCCAATAACACGAGGAAGCTTCGTCAGACTTCCACAGTTAGAAAGGTCAATGCACTGCAAGAATTTCATCTTGGCTATTTTTTCTGGCAGCCTAGATGTGTTAGTGCCTTTTAGGCACAAATACCTCAAGTGTTTGAGTTGGACCAAAGATTCAGACAATGCATCAAAATTTCCATCTTCTATATGTAGGGTCCGCAAACAAGGAAAAGAAGACAGTGAATCACCTGGGTTGATCTTTGTTTCCCCAACTAAAATAAGTGTTCGCAGTGATATATGTGCTTGCAGAGAACTCCACTCTAGCCCATTTGATTCTGATCCATTGGTTTTTAGTGATATCCGAATAACATTTTGTGGGATAATATTGTTGATAATTAGGCCAGCCTCACTTTTGTTTGCTATCAGTGCTTCATCTCTAGTCAAATACTGAGCGAACGAGCGAACAACATCATGCATATTGCAAACTAGCTGGTCTATGTACCGTTGATCAGGCTCTAGAAGGTTCCTAGCTATTAACTGGTCATAGTACTCTTTTCCTAACACTTCCAAATCATGTGAGTTTCCATGAACAAATCCTTCACTAATCCACGTGGCAAGAATACGGTCATACCAGAACACCGTGTTCTTTGGGAGGAGGGCGTAGTGCAGAAAGCAAGACTTCAACTCAGGGTTCAGATCTTGATAGCTCAGGTACACTGCATAGTTTAGCTCTTCAGGCATTTGAGATACTGACCATGTAGAATCATTAAGGACCTTTGTCCAATCGCTTCGCCTTGTCCTTTTCTGGCGGAGGAGGCCTCCTATTACTTTGACTGCGAGAGGCAAACCATCACATTCTGCTATAATCGACATTCCAATGTCCTTTAGTGTATCAACCTTTTGTTCATCATTATTTTCATTTCCGACCACCTGCAAGCAGCTAATTAAGCCAGTTAATTATGTGGAATATGGAGATATATATACATTTCGTCCTAATCGGAGGCAAAATCGAGTGCTCGTAAATGATTCTGTGTGCAGAGGCAAAATCACGTACGACGTTCTAAGCATATGACCGATGTACCACTTCCGTGCACCTATATATAGCACTACGGTGCAACTAGGTGACGTCTGTGCACAAAAGTAGTTCTCTCAGCAGTCACTCTATAATTACCAGCTCTTGTATTTTATAGTCACTGTATTATGTACCATAGTCACTCCAGTATTTATTGTAGCTTTTAATAATTATAATTTTATTTTACTAAAATGGAATGAACTGTCCTCTAAGCCCTGCACTGTGGCACTAAAGATATTGAATTTTCTATATCAAAATTTTTTGCAGTAATATTATTTTGTATAAATATAGAATAATTAAAATTAAATTACTAGCATTGATATGACATAATATTTTTTGTCAAAATTTATAAACTTATTTAAATTAAAGGACGTACCTAGTGCAGAGATAAATGTAATTAACAAAAAATTGTTAGTATCATTATTTATTTGTGGTTTGTTAAGGAAGATTTTTAGCTCTTGATTAATTATTAAATAAAGAGTAAATTTCACTAGTGGTCCTCGAGCTCGTCCTAAGTTCTCATCCAGGTTCTAGTACTTTTAAATTGCACACTCAACTCCCTAAATTTGTCATGAGTTCTAATCCCGGTTCTAGTATATGCAAATTGCACATTTAGCTCTCTAAACTTGTTCTTAACTCTCGTCTCGGTTTTGGTACTTGCAAATTCCACACTCAAGGTTCCTAAAATTGTATTATTATACCATTATGGTCCATTCACCCTATAACATTGTCCCCACCTCGGTCACACCACACATGCTTGCCTTACTACCCTCCACCAGCCTATGTTGTTGGGGCATAACACAGATGGCAGTATGTGCAAACGTCACATGTATCTATTTTAAAATGTTTTTATTATATTTCTTTCAACGATTTCAAAGACCAAGGTGAGCATCACCGTCCAGTTTCACTGCGAAATCGCAAAACTGACGGTGATGGCGGTTTCTAAACTGGTGGGGATAATGTTTCTGTAGTAGTGTCTTCACAGTAGTTTGTAGCCTAGATTCATAATATTAGTGCTAAAATAAATAACCATCTAGGTTAATTTGCATATCCGTGTGCATAAGAAACCTAATAAAAACTACTGAAAATGCATAGATGTTATAAATTATAAATATTACATAGGGGCACTTTGTTCTTGAGCCAATTTAAGCTCAGTCAGTAATAACAAATGGTGATGATAACGATTATAATTGTTAGAACATTCTGGATGGCCAAAGAATTCCTTGCATGCGTATATTTGTTTCCATAAATAAACTACCCTCAACTAACGTTTACAATTAAATGGAAGTTACAACAAATCTTAAAGGTTTTGTAGATAACTTACTAGCCCAAATGTGCATCGGGCAGTAGTGTCGTGCTAAACAAATTTGTTTCTGAAGAAAAACTACCACAATAGAAGGTGAAGCTAGGGGCATGGCATGTACAGACTGACTAGCTAGATAGACTATGAAGCAAATGTACAAGACTACCAACTATCTAGATAGATTGTGAAGCAAATGTGCACACATGAATACATAACATATTAAATCCTTAAATTAACTTATACGAACCTGCTTCTTGAGCAAAGACCAGGCATCTTCTTGCTCTAGTTTGTCGACATGGTGGTAGGGAACCTCTGCCATCATGCCTCGAGCAACTTCATCTTGTCTCGTTGTAACGAGAACACGGCTTCCTCGAGCAAGTGATTTTATCAATGGAGGCTTGAGCACCTTCTCCCATGCATGGTGGTCCCAAACATCATCCATCACCAATAAGGTCTTGCACCCCTCCAGGGCTTCCTTAAGGGTTCGCTCAAGTGCAGCCTTTGTGTTTCTAGCTGCTTGATGATCTCCTCGTGCTTCAGTGATAGCTCTCTCTAGTAGACCACTGTCGCTAAATTCTTGATTGACGCTCAGCCATAGTCTCTTTTCGAACTCTAATTTGATGATGTCATGGTTGAAGATCTTCTTGGCAAGGGTGGTTTTGCCAATCCCTCCAACTCCCACAATAGCATAAACCATAACTTTTTTGTGTTCATGTATGTTTTCTCCTTCTTTGTGAGTAAATTCACTAGATTTCTTGTGTCCTCCTCAATCTTGTCACCAACCACACCTAACTCATCCTCCCCCGTCGTCTCACGCCTAGCGCGAAGGGTGGATTCTACCTTTTTCTTGTCGTCCTCATAAGAAGCAAGGTTGATGAAGTTGAAGGTTTTGCTACGCTTCTCAATGTCATCTAGCCTCTCATTGAGATTCTTTATGTGATTACCAATGTCATGAGCATGGAGAGGATTTCTCAAACAAAAGAGCAAGGGATTGAAGCAGCCCATATCCTTGGATGGACCCTGTTCCATGGCCTTGAGCTGGCACAAATCAAAAATGTTGGTTGCATCATACATGGCATTCCTAAGCTCTCTCACCCATGATTGCACACTCTCGTCGCTGATGTTCCTCTTGTCAGCATCGGCGATGAACCTCTTAAGGTCCCCGAGCTTGATGCCCATCTTTTTTATCTCATCAGGAACACCTAAGAGCAGATGCACCTCTTCTTTAGCCATCTCCGACAGCATGTGTTGTAGGTAGGATGTTAAAGCGTCCAATACCACTGCCATTGCTGCTTTGGTGTCTACAAAGTCAAAATTAGACAAAAATATCACGTGATTTGTTTCAAGCAAAGGTAATATTTATGGTAAAGGAACCGAGGTCCCTGTAACCATAACACTAATTATTGAAAAGTAGGCCCCTGCAACAATAGATATATAGGTAGATCTACAATGAGAAACACATCTATAGAAAAAGATTACAGGGGCACCTGGCGGGCGGATGAAACCCTAGCAGCGCACCTGGCGGCCGCCCTCAACCCGCCGCCGCCGACCGCCCCGGCACCGGCGGCCCCGGCCTTCACCCCCCTCCTCCTCCCCGCTCCCCTCCCTTCCCTATAGCCTCCCATCCTGCACATCCAGCCCCTCCCGCAGCCTTCGGCGTTGTGGGATGCGCCTCCACCAGGGAGCCTCCGCTGGAGCTCGCCTGGCCGTGCACCGTGGCTGAGCCCGCCCCCGCCAGATCTGGCGCTAGGGCGCCATGACCGACGCCGGGAGCCGCAGTCGCGGCCGCCTCCGACACCACCCACGCCGGATCTGGAGTTGGGGCGCCGCCGCGAGCTCAATCAGCACCCGTGCCGCCGCCTACGCCGGGTGCCACCACCGTGGCTGCCACCGAGTTCGCCACTGCTGGATCCGCCATGGGGGTGCTGCTGCGACCTCCCTCAACGAACGCGACGCCGCCGACGGCGGACGCCACCGTGCACACCTCCACAGGGCCCAAATCCATCGCCGACCTGCTAGTGCCGGCCACGGAAGCAAGGATGGAAGACGAGTCATTGGTCATCGTCAAGGACGTCCTGGAAGTCGAGGACGAGGAGGAGGATGCCGCACGCTCGGGCAGGTCATCGTCGTCCTCCCTCTCTGCGCATGCCGCCCCCTTTTTCCCCAACCGCCGGTCGGCTGGCAAGAATAAGTTTCGGCATTGGGAGGAAGACCTCGGCGCGGGCAGCTCCAACGACGAACTTGCTTCTTCTGCCACGCGCTTGTCATACCTGGATGCCGCTTGCAAGGCTCTTCGGGCCACGCCTCCACCGCCGGCTGGGGCTTCGGACGCAGCACATAGCACAGCCGCCGTGGAGGAAACCCGTCCGGCGCATGCAAGGTGGAAGCGGGGTCATCGGTGTAGGACTAGTGCGCCCGACGGACTCCGCCGCGGGACTTCGCCATTGCACGCCGCGCGGGTACCCGCGCAGCATCGCCTGGGTCCGCTGCCGGCAGCAAGAGGGCCGGTGCACCAGTGCCTCGGACCGCGACATAGGGCGTCAGTGCCTGCCACGTCCTAGCAGCCCCATCAAGGGCCCAACATCGACGCCGATGGATTCCAGATTGTTAAGAGTCGTTGTCACCGGCGATGTCCGGGGAGAACGACACCCAAACACCGCCACCGTCACATCCCGCTGGAGCTTGTAGGTCTCTACTTCAACTGCCTCGTGCACCACCACATCGCCGCTCAGTGTCGCTCCCCATCCCGCTCCCCATCGAAAGGCGCGTTGCTCTGCTGGTCCTAGGTGACCCAGCTTGTCGCCGGGATGTCGCGCCGCGCCAAACCTGGCACCGGCACCGTCATCGCACGGTTGTGTGCAGCAGTCACCGCCATCGTCGCCGTAATAGCTCCACAACAGTAGGTTGCCGCTATCACCACCCCTGGGCGACACTGATAGCCATCCCAAGGTCTAGGTCTTCGTCGTCCCAAGGAACGTGGAGCTCGCCGCGTCTGGTGCGGACCTCTCCCTTGTTCTCGTTGCACTAGCCGGTGGAAATCAGCCAGCCGTCACGCCCGCAGAGTTCCTGGCGCACCTTTCCTCGAAGTTCCATGTGTCTGAGGGGGCGGCTATGGCCTGTGCTTGGCTTGGGAGCCCTTCTGCATGCGAGCGTCTGTAGGACAGCCACTCTAGCTCGTCGTGCAAGAGAGCTAGACTTGAGGACGGGGCGGACTTGATGTTATGGAGTCGGCCGAGGCAGCTGCCAACGGCAGTAGACACAATGTTGGATCCAATGCTGGTTTAAGCGGCAATCCAAGGTCCGCCCCCAACCGCCGCTCCGCTTCGGAACCAGGCCATGTTGCGGTGACGACCACGGACTTGGTCGGCAACCCTCCTGGCGACGTCCAGCCGACATTCGACAACGAGGACAGCAGCGTGCGGAACGTGCTTTCCACCCCGCCCCGACCGGCGCAGTGGAGGTCGATTGAAGAAGCGATCGTGTCGTGGATGTGCATCCCTCTACAGACCCCCATCATCCGAGCCGGCCCCAAGCTCAGGAGGCCCAAGACGCCGAAGTCGGGGTTCACGATGAGGCGCAACGAACGCATCGCTAGGAAACCGCGCGCGGCAAACTCCACGCTACAGGCGCGGAATGTTCTGAAGCAGAAGCTCGGTATCGCCGTCGACTACAACGATGTGGACGATGGGATCGTCAAAAAGTTTCGGGCGACCTTTGCGGTCCCTTTGTCGTCCAGCAAGCAGGAGGCATTGGAGGCGCTGTTTGGGGACGGATTCGATCCGGTGGCCATGAACCTGGATATGGTCGGGTTTGATGCCGAGGATATTTAGGCCTTTGTGCTCAGCTTATTTGTCGCAAAATGCTACTGTGTAAATCACAACCACGTGTGTTCGGGCGCTGGTCTCGGTAATCAGTGGATTACCGTGGCCAGCTTAGGTTTGTAACAAACTCTACTTCTGCTTAATGAAAAACATCCCACGGCATGATCTCGAAAAAAAAAGATATATAGGTACTAGAATAATCACATTTAACGATAACTGAAGGGCCTGGGTACTTTTGGTACCAGACCTGGCACCTTGATTTGCATTAAGGTACCAATCTCAACCCGTCACCCGTGTGTGAGTATATTTGTGAGTGGATGACGAATAACATCTCCAATAAAAATAAGAAAGAAAGAGGATGGAAAGAAAAAACAGAGAGAGCTGGGAGAGACTAGGCATATGCACCTTGATTTGCAGCGGCGAGAGAGAATGCTGTGTCCTTCAGTTCCTTGATCTGTTGTGGAGTGGAGCAAGAGAGGACTGGCCGGGCCAGGCTGGGGGTACATTTGTCACAGAGATGCCAAATTGTTTGATTTGTGGTTGATGTATAATAGTGTATATAAGCGAGTACACAAGTTTGAAGTAGATCTTGGACGCAGAGCTAGCTACGCATGAAAAATTGAATTCAGAGAAATAAGGCGTCGAGGAAACGGACCTGTTGAGCGATGGCTGGAACTGGAAGTACGTTGGACCAAGTGCAGGCGTGGTTTGTGGAACGGCACCTGCTGCCTAGCAGTTGCAAAGGTTGGAGATTGGCCGGATCCACGACTAGGCGTGGAACGGCACCTGCTGCCTAGGCGTGGTTTGCAGCCGGTAGAGAGAGGATAATCTGTGTGCTTCAGTTCCTTGGTCTGTTGTAGAGTAACGCAAGAGGACTGGCCAGGCCGCGCTGGGGTTTACAGTCATCGATCACCATAGAGATGCCGAATTGTTAGATTTGTGGTTGGTGTATATATATAATAGTATATATAAACTTGTACACAAGTTTGTAGTAGATCTCGGACGCAGAGAAATACAACGTCAAGGAAACGAACCTGTTGAGCGATGCCTGGAAGCCTGGAACAGGAACGAATCCCGGCGTGGTTTGTGGCAACTGCTCTGCTTGACGGACGCTGGCGGAGGTGGTGGTGAATGGGCTGATGGCCAGGGTTGCTGCTAGCCGGCGCCGGAGGGGGCGGACAAGCTGAAATGGATTAAGCGAAGAACAGATGAGATGTGAGGTGGTTAGCGACGACTAGAACTGCGGTTGCTTCTCTCGGCAGCTTGAGATTAGGAACGAAGGCCGCTTTATAGTTGGCCATGGTCGCCCGGTTAACTGAGCTGAGCTGGTAGTGGCAGGCAGAGTCTGAACATCTTCAAATACTTCAAATAAGTTATAGTCCTGCAGATGGTATCAGGGTCAATAATTTTGATATAAATTTATCTTCGTGCAAATTCGTATAAAAAATTATGAATTATTTTTTTGACCACACTTCTTTTCAGAAACGGGCTTGCCACCTCTGTTAATTGTTATGTCTAGATCCTAGTTTTCTCTTTAACCATTCGTATGAACGCCTTCTTTTATTTGTTCATGTTACTAAAAAAGAGTTTAGGTCCTAGTAGTATTGCTTTCCACATGTTGATTAAGTTGAAACACAGCTTGCACGCCAACGCTCAATACGTTGAATTTATTATAACACAGGATTATATTTGTAGTAGTATTGTTTTATATAACGTAGAATGGGAAAAAATAAGTTACTAATATTGGTATTACATAATTTTTTATTCAAAATGTATAAACTTATTCAGAATACCAAATTATGAAATCTATTATCATGGAGTGTTAATATAAATTAAAATTAATAATTGGTGATATTGCTATTGATTTGGTAGGTGAACATTTTTCCATGTTTCATAATCTATTAAAATAAATATTTATCCTATGTATACATGTGAAAGATAATATTATGCTAAATTTTAACTTCATGGTTGTTGAATGTTAAATTATTTTTTTTGTAATAGCATATATTAGTATTTAATGTAGATTTGAGAATTTTTATTTGTTTCTTTATAATAGCCGTGGTAGAAAAAATATAGAGGTGTTACATTATATGCTATTTCATAATAGCGTATATGGGTATGTTAAATGCAAACTCAGAGGTTACTTTGCATTATCCTTCATTTTGATAGAGGTAGTTAATTTATAAAATTATCAGGGAGTATTTTAAATTAGGGAAATTTTGCTATGGGACACTGGGAAAACATGTAATTGGCCGGCACACACCGCCAAACCGAGAATTTGTCAAAAGACACCGCAAATTTGTGGTTCTTTTCCCAGACACACCGTACCGATTATTTTATTCATATCTCAGTTTTAGGGAGAGAGAATGTGGAAGAAATGTCGTCTTTGCCCTTGTCTTCAACCTCTGGCCGGGCGTGACCATGATCGGAGCTGAACGTCACCGACGAGCTGGGCTGGGCCTAGAG